AACAACCTTAGCCTAACCCAGCTCAACTAAGGAGGAACCTTAATTCTATTGACTTCAAGAAGCTGTCAGCTGATATTGATTCACAACTCCTATCCATCACTTCCATCTCTTGTCCCTCACTTGCCATCTCCACAAATAACACTACTCTCTCCTCTGGCTTGAACGCTGCAGCCCCGCTCCAAACATGCACCTCGAGGAGATCGCACCCCCAACATACTAAATCAACACGCAACCTGCAAAGATGCTCTTGTTGTGTTGAAATTCTCCTGGAGGAAGTCTTGCACCCAGTCAAATTTTCTCCATTATAGATTCATATTGTGTTCATACATCGCAGCCCTTGCCCTCGTCAAACAGCCATACTTTTCCTTTCTCATTAGTTCATGCTCCCACAATCCCAGGCGTCTCTTTGACACCTTTAATTCTCTTCTTTGCCCTGCTGTGGCCACCCCACAAACTAAACTTACAGCCGATAGCTTTGCATGTTACTGTATCGACAAGATTGAACAGCTTCTTCCCACCCTGCCTTTCTCTTTCTCAATCACATGTAGATCATGCCTTTCCTACCCTTCAGACTTTCTCCCCGGCTACTGAACAAGAGGTGGCTGCACTTCTCCTTTCCTCTCGCCCCACCACTTGCCCGCTCAATCCTATTCCATCTCACCTTATCAGATCTCTCTCCCCATGTCTTGCGCCTTCCTTAACACACATCTTCAACTGCTCTCTCTCTTCTGGCAATGTCCCTGCTGACCTTAAACATGCCACTGTAGTGCCTATCCTGTAAAAAACATCTCTTGACCCGTCCTCCCCTCTAACTATCGACCCATATCCCTGCTCCTTTTCTCCTCAAAGCTTCTGGAAAGACTTGTCTTTACCCATATGTCTCACTTCCTCAATTCCAACTCTCTCCTTGACCCTCTTCAATCTGGTATCCGCTCTCTCCACTCTACTGAGACTGCTCTTATCACAGTTACTAACAACCTAATCTCAGCTAAATTCAAAGGCCACTACTCTATACTAATTCTTCTTGACCTCTCTGCTGCCTTTGACACGGTTGATCATGCTCTCCTTCTTCAAACTCTTTAATCACTCGGTCTCTGTGACTCTGTCCTCTCGTGGTTTTCCTTCTATCTCACCCAACACTCATTCAGTGTCTCCTTTTCAAATGATACCTCCTCCCCTCGTCCTGTCTCGGTTGGAGTCCCCCAAGGCTCTGTCCTTGGTCCCCTTCTATTCTCTCTTTATACTATCTATCTTGGCAAACTTATTACCTCTTTTGGATTCCACTATCACCTGTATGCAGATGACACCCAGATATCTCTCTCGTCCCCGGACCTCTCCCCCTCCGTCCTGCAACATGTCACTGCTTGCCCTTCTTCCATCTCTGACTCGATGTCCTCCTGCTTTCTGAAACCCAATCTCTCTAAAACTGAGCTACCTTTCATTTCTCCTCCTAATACCGATCCTCCTCTTTCGCTCTCCCTTCAAATTACTGGTATTCACATAAGTCCATCCTTGCAAGCGCTCTGTCTTGGCGTCATACTTGATTCTAGCCTAAACTTTGAGCCTCACATCCAGTATGTTGCCAAATCCTGTAGATTCCATCTTAAAAACATAGCCCACATCCACCCCTTTCTTACGCAAGATTCTACCAAGCAGCTTGTCCATGCTCTAGTAATTTCCCGCATGGTTAATTGTAACCCTCTCCTAATTGGTCTTCCCAAAAGCCGTATTACCCCACTACAGTCTGTAATGAATGCTGCCGCCAGACTGATTTTTCTCTCTAGTCGGTCCTCTCACACCTCACCCCTCTGTCAGTCCTTATATTGGCTTCCTGTATCCTATATGAGTCAATTCAAAGTGCTACCCCATACCTATAAAGCACGGAACAATTATAGCCCCTCTTAAATCTCCTCACAGATCCATAAGTATGTGCCCCTTCTCGGTCTCTCCGCTCTGCCCGTGACCTTCTCCTGTCCGCTGCTCGCACCCATACGGCCAACTCACGCTTGCAGGACTTCTCGCGGGCGGCTCCCTTCCTATGGAATAGCCTGCCTACCGCCATTAGACTCTCCCCTAGTCTTCAATAGTTTAAGAAGTGCCTTAAAACCCATCTCTTTAGGAAAGCTTATGGCCTCCCAGTAACCTCTACCTCTACATACCTGTCTCTCTCTCTCCTAAAGGTCCGAATTTTACTCTCTCCTCCAGCTCTGCTTCACTTCCACCTTGCTTGATTGCTATTTCCTGTCCTAATGTGTTTTATACCCCACCTCCTGTAGACTGTAAGCTCGTTTGAGCAGGGTCCTCTTCAACCTATTGTTCCTGTAAGTTTTCTTGTAATTGTCCTATTTATAGTTAAATTCCCCCCTCTCATAATATTGTAAACTGGTACGGAATCTGTCGGCGCTATATAAATTGCAATAATAATAATAATGTTTTAAAGAAAACTAGAGCAGACAGAAAGAAATGAAGAGCAGATCCTGAGAGAGGCAGAGAAGATGAGGGGATTGGGGTAAGGAAAGTTCGGCATGACAGTGCCACTTTAAAGACCACCCATCAAAACCAAATCATGTGTTCAATGTGTCTATGACTTGCCCAAAGAAGCATGTGCCAAACTGGGCGACCTCTGTAGCCACTTACCAAGAGATGCACATCTGGATATATCAGCCTGGAAAACAACACAGGCTGCAACTCAAGAAGAATGGCAAATCGCATGAATGTAAAGAGGAGTGCTTATATCATGTATATTATTATTTTAGGAAAACATTTCATTTCATGAACATGTTTTGTTTTTAAATGTGTAAAGAAAGTTAATAAATGTTTTTTTTATTTGTGTTTAAAGTGCACATTTTAAACAGTGAGTGATACAAGACAAAAATTATTCACTGATATATTAATATACACTGTTCTTGTCACTAAAAATTTAAGTGACAGTAATTTTTTTAGATCAATGTTACTTAGAGATATTATTCATCTCTCATGCTGCAATGCTTGAAGAGTTGTGATAGAAGGCAAACTATGTGTGTAAACACGTGCTTCACCATGCTTGGGAGGTGGATTTCAGATGTTTTCTGATTTTATTGCATCTTTAAACCAGTTCAGTACCATCTCTTTATTTTCATTCACCCATCTAATGTTTGCTTTAGTCTTCTCTATGGCTTGTTCCAACGATTGAGCAGCTGTTCCAAACCCACTTTCTTGGTTATCAAATTTGAACTGCTCCAGCTAAAAACACAAAAAAATAAAAACAAGAATTCAGCGTAGTATTTGTAGTATGTACAAATTAAATTTTACTGTACTATTTTAAACACATTAACATTCCATATACAATGACCATGTCATAATGCAATGGATAGTTTAATTCTCTAGTACTCAATTTGTCTAGTAATGAATGGGAAGAATATATTTCTTTAACCCCTTAAGGATGGAGCCAAATGTACACGTTGTGAACAAAACAAAATGTAAACAAAACCTGGCATTTGCGCTACATGTCTGTCCAACTGTAATTCACCTCTTTCATTTTAAATACACCCACCCTTATTATATATCATTTTGTTCAGGAGAAACAGGGCTTTCATTTAATAACAAATATTTAGCTATGAAACATAATTTATTATGAACAAAATTTAAAAAACTGTGAGAAATTTAAATTTTTTTTAAAAAATTGTAGTTCCGCCTCACATTTTAGCTTTCAATGTCATAATACTGTTAGGTTTTACTGCAAAAAAATGCACATATTTGTAATCAGTGATGTCTCACGAGTACAACAGTACCCCCCATTACCAGGTTTTATGGTGTTTTGGAAAGTTACAGGGTCAAATATAGAACGTTCCATTTTCACATTGAAATTTGCCAGATTAGTAATGTTACCTTTGAGATGGTGTGGTAGCCCAGGAATGAGAATTACCCCCATAATGGCAGACCATTTGAAAAAGTAGACAACCCAAGGTATTGAACGTGGGGTATGTTTAGTCCTTTTTAGTAGCCACTTAGTCACAAACACTGGCCAAAGTTAGCGTTCATATTTGGTTTTTTTTTGTGAAAAAAGCAAAAAACTAATATTTGGCCAGTGTTTGTGACTTGTTTGCGGTTATTTGTATTTTATACATAGATATATATAGAATGTCATTCTAAGTGTATTTTGTTAATAATATATATATATTAATAACAAAATACAGTTAGAATGAAATTACATATGAATATATAATTTATATGAAATTTTGTTTCAATATTTTATTTATTTTATTATTTAATTTATTTATTATTGTAATTATACGTATATATATATATATATATAATATATGTGTATATATCTATTATATATATATATAATATATATACATATTATATATGTAACGTCATTCTAAGTGTATTTTAATATTAATATATACTTATATTAATATTAAAATACATTACGTATATTTAATTTATTTTTACACGTTTATTTTTAATTTTTTTTCATTTCCCACCAGCAGGGGGACTGTCTGATATTTCAGACAGCCCCCCTGCTGGCAAATCCATAGCCAGCTATGGGGGGCCATGTGATCGCTCTTTGAGAGCGATCACATGGCCCCCGGGGGCCTCATTCGCAGCCCTCCAGAAGAGGATCGTGGCGGAGGTAAGTACCGCCGGTCCTCTGGGGCTCAAAGCCGTTTCAGCGTTCTATGCCGCCGCAACGGCTTTAAAGCCCATTAAAGCCGCGACGGCATAGAACGCCGTAACGGCGGGAAGGGGTTAACAGACAGTGAGAACTAAATAGAACACGTGTGTAACAGATAAGTGTACAGAATATCCAGACTTAGCTTTAGAAAGGTCATATCCATGAATTAATATGTCATCGTGTCGGAAGGAGGATAAAGCTTTTCTTAATGTCTGCTGGTTTATCTTGATTATTGTTGTTTAAATACATTTCCAGTGAAATTAGACTTTTTTTCCTCCAATAAACGTTTATTTTTCTTACCTGTTGCAGATCGAAGTCAGTGGAGAAACGGAGAGTCACCTGATGAAGTATGTTACGAAAAGAGAACGTGGACCCTCCAAGCCTAAATAAGGAAATTCATAGATAAATAAATAAGTATTAAATAATTATAAAATTAATTTCAGGGAGAGCACTGGCAACTTTTAGCCTGGAGTGGGGGAGTATGAATGAGTGGCCATTTTTGTGCACATAGTTACCGATATCTGTGTGGATAGTACCTGCTCATTCAGTGCATGCAATATATGGGTTGGGCACATAGTGGCAGTAGGAGTGGCATGCTGTGATATCAGCTTCCATTTGTATGGTGTGACGGAACACTTACATAGATGTATGCATGTCTTATAGACTCTGACTGATTCCTGCTGCATCATAGAAACATAGAATGTGACGGCAGATAAGAACCATTCGGCCCATCTAGTCTGCCCAATTTTCTAAATACTTTCATTAGTCCCTGGCCTTATCTTATAGTTAGGATAGCCTTATGCCTATCCCACGCATGCTTAAACTCATTCACTGTGTTAACCTTTACCAATTCATCTGGAAGGCTATTCCATGCATCCACCACTCTCTGAAAAGTGATACTTCCTGATATTATTTTTAAACCTTTGTCCCTCTTATTTAAGACTATGTCCTCTTGTTGTGGTCGTTTTTCTTCTTTTAAATATAGTCTCCTCCTTTACTGTGTTAATTCCCTTTATGTATTTAAATGTTTCTATCATATCCCCCCGTCTCATCTTTCCTCCAAACTATACATGTTAAGATTAGAGTTGAGCGGACACCTGAAGTCAATGCGGACCCAAACTGTTGGGCACTAAAATGCCTCTAAAAAAGTCCTGTAAAGGGCTAGAGGGCTGCAAAAGGAAGTAAAATGGGGGTAAGAGTAGGGCAAGTGCCCTGCAAACAAATGTGGATAGGGAAATCACGTAAAATAACATAAAAATTAAAAATACAGCTGAGCCATAAAATAGCACTAGATGGAATCTTTGATTTTAGCTTTGGAAGAACATAAATCAAAATCTAAAGCATGGCTGTCAGGAGGATCACCAGAATTATCCATTTGAGAGAGGGTTGGAGTGCATGGTATTCTCTTTCATTGTTCAAACTGAGCTCAACTCCTGATGCATGGAGAAAGGGCCTTCACAAGCCTCTGCTATTGTGTACATAGTTTATACTAAGTGACCCATAGGTTGAGGAGGCGGTGACCGTGGCGGTGTGGGTGAACGCGGCAGTGGAGGAGGAGGAGGTAGCCAACACTGTTTTTTATTTGTTTGTTTTTTAATTGGGGTAGCCCCCAAAATATTGGGATTTGGGACATAAAAAAAAGAAACATTTGCTGCCTGCAGTGCATTTCTTGCAGTCCTGATGCATGGAAAAATGCTCAATTCCTGATGCATGGAGAAAAGGCCTTCATAAGCCTCTGCTATTGTGTACATAGTTTATACTAAGTGACCCATAGGTTGAGGAGGCGGTGACTAACACTGTTTTTTCTATATATATATATATATATATATATATATATATATATATATATATGTTTTTTTTAATTGGGGTAGCCCCCAAAATATTGGGACATATAAAAAATATAAGCAATACCGCCGAAAGTTTAGGGAGACCCGGAAAGGGGAGAAGGACTCCCATGCAGAGTGGGCATGCAGCATCACAAGGGCCACCCAGAACTGGCTCAACTCCCATCAAGCCAAGTTCCCGGAGGAGATCACCCAGCTCGTCATGCTAGAGCACTTTTTCAATGGGATCCCCAACGACAAGGTGACGACGCATTCATATGTCATCCATATCAACTTTCAATGCCATTTACTGTGCCTACCATGGTGACCACGGGTAACGGGGAATCAGGGTTCGATTCCTGAGAGGGAGCCTGAGAAATGGCTACCACATGCAAGGGAGGCAGCAGGTGCGCAAATGACCCACTCCCGACTACAGGACTCTTTAGTCCACTTGAAATTCTTTAACTCTGATCAATTGGAGGGCAAGCCTGGTGCAGAGCGACTGACCCGTGCGTGCTGCAGCTGAAACTCCTCTATCGCCTGCTGCTGCTCGCACAGTCTGTCCAGCATGAGTTACACCTTGTGTGCACGTCGCATATGAGGCGGTGAGCGGGAAGGCCAAAGATACGCTGTAGCGCAGACAGACGAGCAGCAGCAGGGTGAGAACGCCGAAAGCGCGCACAGCCGCTACAGTGAATGTCACATACTGTTCCAAGTTGCGGATCAGTCTGGGGATGGCTTTTGGTATCCAGTACTCTTTTTACTGAAGCTGCATCAGGGTCCTGGTATGTGGCCGCACAAACGCTGGTGCTCAACACCAGGGGGCGCGCGGTTACCCTGTACCAGACCCTGCTAATCCATTCCACACTGTGACCCCTAACTTCAACATCAGGCATACTGGGTCCCGGTCACCGGACTGCCCTCCTGACCGTGAAACTGTGAATGGCTCGTTAAATCTGTTATGGTTCCTTTTATCGCTCCATCTGTTACTTGGATAACTGTGGGAATTCTAAAGATAATACATGCCGACGAGCGCTAGGGGACAGCCGCTCTGCTTTTGCACCCTGCTCCCTCTTATGCTGTGCTGGTGCCTCTCTGCGACCACCGCCTCTTCCTCCAAACTGCACACGTCACTCGCATGACCTTGATTCCATGTGGGGTCTATGACCTCATCATCCTCCACATCATCTTCCACCCACTCCTCAACTCTGCCCTCCTTGCCGGTCTGCACACTGCAGAAAGCCACAGCAGTTGGCACCTGTGTTTTTCCAGCATGTAAAGTCTGCAAAGGACATATGGAAATTGTTTTAGAATTGTATCCAGGCAACAGTTTTCCCTATAAACTGACCTCTCAGTTTGACTTGTGAGGGTATTGCCAGTGAATTATAATATTGCTTTTTTGGTATTTGACGGTTCTATTTGAATGTTAGATATGAAGTGCAGGCCGCAAATGTACTATTTAGCACCCAAAAAAATTTGAATTGGTCAAACTGCACTGTAACCACAGTATTTGACGGTTCTATTTGACTGTTAGATATGAAGTGCTCACTCCAAATTTACTTTTTATCACCCAAAACAATTAGAATTTTTCAAAGTGCGCTGAAAGCACAGTATTTGACGGTTCTATTTGACTCTCAAATATATGGTGTACCGCAGGCCGCAAATGTACTATTTAGCAGCCACAAAATTTGAATGTTTAAAAATGCTATGTCACAGCACTATTTGACTCTCTGATATGAAGAGCACGCCTCAAAATGTACTATTTAGCAGCAAAACAATTATAATTTTTACACCTGCGCTGTAACCGCACTATTTGACGCTTCTATTTGACTCTCAGATATGAAGAGCACGCCCAAAATTTACTATTTAGCAGTTTAGCAGCAAAACAATAAGAATGTTTACAACAGCGCTGTAACCGCACTATTTGACGCTTCTATTTGACTCTCAGATATGAAGAGCACGCACAAAATTTACTATTTAGCATCAAAACAATTAGAATGTTTACAACTGCGCTGTAACCGCACTATTTGATGTTTCTATTTGACTCTCAGTATCGCAAACTAACAGCCTAATTGATAGTTTCAAACAGCAATCTGGGCCAACTGACAAGAAAATCGCAACAGCAGCATGTTGGACAGGTTTAATTATTTATTTATTTTACCTTTTACCTTTTCTCATGTTGGAACATCTTTGTGGAATATTTTCTACCCAATATTTTATGTTTTACTAGAATTACCTATTATTATTTTTTGATGTGAATAAAGTCTTATTTTTAACCAATACTAATTTCTACAAGTCATTTTCGATATAGATGGACACTTTTTAAAGTATCATTCTGGTACCAACACGAAACATCTTAACATCTATTCCGACCGCTACTGTTGCGATTTTCTTGGCAGTTGGCCCAGATTGCTGTTTGAAACTATCAATTTAGTGATGTACCGAACGGTTCACTGGCGAACGGTTCCTGGCGAACATAGCATGTTCGCATTTGCCACGGCGGGCGAACATATGCGCGGTTCGATCCGCCCCTATTCGTCATTGTAACGGACCGTTTTTGCACAAAAGGGGTAAAAACCGTTTAGGCGATTGGCCCCCTTTCCAGAGATACAGGCACAGCTACCGCAGAACACCAAACTCCCGAACTGCATACAAAATAGCACTTCAACTCCCGAACTGGAACCTCCCAAATAGCTGCTAGCAGACGAACAGGAAAAGCAGACAATCAGCTTACACTCCTGGCAATCAGTCTCTAACAGCATACAGTGAATCCCCCCAAGAACGAGACAAGGCTCCGTGTTGAGGGTCAAGCAGTGGTCTGAGGTGCTGGCACACCCAGCCTGGTTTTTATTACAGTCTTGCAAATACAGGACCGCCCACAGGGAGGTATAAAAAAACCAATCACATCACAGTTACATCCCACATATTCCCTCCCCTTATCCTGAGAGGAAACTCAATTACACATACAGTTAAAACATACTTTCTACCCAACTTTCATAACTCTAAAACCATACATCACATTCACATAAAATTACATATTCACAATCAATCCATTCAGGGGAACAACATATTAAAAAATGGCACGAATCAGACCAGGGGTTCAAAAGTTAAGGGAAAGTCCTTTGTGACTAAATGAAGCATGGCTTTCTGGCCCAAACCAGTTTCAGAGTCTTCTATCCTGGAGAGTAATTCAATTATCTCCCAGGACAGACACAAGACTCCATTAAGCACATGGTTGCAAAAAGACACAAAACACTTTAAAATACATAAAGTCACATTTATTACATAAAACACAGACATGTAACATATCCCCAGATAGCTCAGGTCCGAGCGCACATTATTAAGCGAATGGCGCTCAGACCACACGAATACAGTTTAATCGCCATGGAGCCAAAGTCTTTACAGTCAGTTTCATACGAATGGGCTCCATGGGATTCCTATCTGGGGTATAACACATTCAAACAAATCTACCGAACCCCAGGCAGAAAAGCACGAATACAGCTTTTCTGCAGGCAAAACTAAAGTCTTTTAAAAGGGGCCATAGTCCAAAGGCAGCAGGCGAGCAACCAGGCTTCTCCAATGCAATGTGGCGAGATTGGTCTCGTCACATCTCTCCCCTTTTCCAAACAGACTAGCAGGGTATCTGACCTCCTGCCGGTCAGTGCCCTTGTTAGTCCAGCAGCCCACCCACAAAACATAATCAACAGCACAGCCCACCCACAATAAATGGTTACTACACCTGGGTAAAGGAGAAGCTTGTCCATGTCCAGGTGCCTCACCACAGCTGTGCTGGGTACGGGTACGCTGACTGGGTGGGTTGCTGCGCGGGCAGAGACCAGCGGCTCTCTGCCCTGTTGCCAGCGCTACTGGGAGGGTAGCCTGGTTGAAGCCTGGTTGTTGGAGGGGGAGACCGACTGTCTCCCCTTTAACTACACCGTTTTGCTGCTGGAGACCGACTGTCTCCCCTTTTGTTGCACAGCTCTGCTGCCGGAGGGGGAGACCGACTGTCTCCCCTTTGGATACTCTAAGCTGTCGCTGGGGAGAGGGGGCAACAGGCTCCTCTCCCGATAGAACACTCTGCCGCTGGGGAAAGGAGACTGAGCTCTCTATTCCCTGCCCATTAATGATCCGCCGCTGGGGAGAGGTGGTAGTAAGCTCCTCTCCCATACATACTTTCATCCTCTGTGGAGGGAGACCGACTGTCTCCGCTCCCAATACAGTTTCCTGCTGCTGGGGAAAGGAGACTGGGCTCTCTATTCCCGGTAGGACACTCTGCCGCTGGGGAATGGAGACTGGGCTCCCAATTCCCTGCTGTATCTCCAGCTGGGGAATGGAGACTGGGCTCCCAATTCCCGGCACATCACTCGGCCGCTGGGGAATGGAGACTGGGCTCCCAATTCCCAAAAAATCACGCTGCTGCTGGGGGGCAGGAACAACTACCTCTGCCCCCTGTAGCTCAGCCTGCCGCTGGGGAGGGAGGATGCTGCTCTCCTCTCCCTGCACTTTACACTGCCGCTGGGGAATGGAGACTGGGCTCCCAATTCCCGGCATATCACACTGCCGCTGGGGAATGGAGACTGGGCTCCCAATTCCCTGCATATCACACTGCTGCTGGGGAGAGGAGACTGGGCTCTCTCTGTCCCGCAACTGTAGCTGCCGGTGGAGGTCCACCCACCGTGGCAGCTGACCGTCACCCTCTGCCCGGTACAGCAGAGTCTTGAATACAAGACTCCTCACGAACTTCACGGATTTCTCAGCTGGATTAGGTCCGAAGAAGTTCAGCCGCTACCACATCATACGGTCAAATTCCTGTACAGAGTATCTGTACTCCACTGCTGGTTCCATTCTGTTGTTGTCAGGGTCGCTGTACTGAGACATGCGTTGCCCTCAAATTGTAAAATCCACGGAATGGTGTCTCCTGTAGCTGTCCTTCTGGCTGTAGGAATGATCCCACCGCTGCCACCAATTGTAACGGACCGTTTTTGCACAAAAGGGGTAAAAAACGTTTAGGCGATTGGCCCCCTTTCCAGAGATACAGGCACAGCTACCGCAGAACACCAAACTCCCGAACTGCATACAAAATAGCACTCCAACTCCCGAACTGGAACCTCCCAAATAGCTGCTAGCAGACGAACAGGAAAAGCAGACAATCAGCACTCCACCGGCAAATCTCTAACAACGCCTGATGAATCCCAAAAAGAGCGAGACAAGGCTCTGTGTTGAGGGTCAAGCAGTGGTCTGAGGTGCTGGCACACCCAACCTGGTTTTTATTACAGTCTTGCAAATACAGGACCGCCCACAGGGAGGTATAAAACAACCAATCACATCACAGTTACATCCCACATATTCCCTCCCCTTATCCTGAGAGGAAACTCAATTACATACAGTTAAAACATACTTTCTACCCA